TTTTGTTATGATTCTTTTTTTTTTTTCATTTTCTATAAACAAAATACCTGCTGGATTTTCAAGAAGAAAAAAAATGGACCATTTGGAGTTAAAAAGTTGACCAATATCTGTACATTTTTATTTTCAATAACTCCAATTGAGCAACTATCACCATTCATAAACTTATAAGAAATGCTATAAAATATTTGATATAATTTTAATTTTTTAAAATAATTTATCAAGGTCGATTATATTTACAAAATCGGAATAGTCGTCGAAGGAATAACATATAACGAAGAAAATGAAAGAGGAAAACATTTGGTGGATGAATTCGGAATGAGATGGGGTTAGGCATTTTCTTTTTTGTTATGCAGAGTAATGGTGATTGTGGAACAACAGAGAAGAAGATAAGAAGATGGAGAAAAAATGGCAGTAAGTTAGATAGGGTGGGGTGAGGGTGGGGGGAAATATTTTTTTTTATCAATTTAATTTTTTATATATTATTAAAGGAAGGAAAATATTTTTTATTTTTTAAAATTAAAATTATGGGCCCATATGCCAGTGGTCGTAGTTCTATTTGTAATTTTTGTCAAGATAACGAGTGTGCATTACACGCACAATATTTGTAAAGGTGGTTGTTATTTTATGTTCAAAAGATAAATATTTATTAATATTAAAGTGTCTAATAGGTAAGAGTCTCAGTTGAGGTGTCTAAATGAATTATGCGGACAACTTTAAGGGCTATCGATGACTTAAGCCTTTTTTAACTGATAATATGTCTGCAAGATGCAGTTGGTTTAATTTGTATTTGTGAGTGGTTTAAAAATGTGTAGGATATGCTTCACGCAGTTCATTTGAGCTGCAGTGAAATGGTGAGTCAATGGGAGGAGGCTGTCTCAACGAAAGAACCGTCCACCGAACTCGATAAATGGCCTTACCTTTAAATATTGACTAGTGATGTTATTTCTCGCATAACCTTTGGGAGCAACAACGAAGAAGGTCGAAAGATATTTGAGCTTCAAAAAGAACAAGCTGAGCATGTCATTATTAAGCTTCTTGCACCTTATATATTCCGGGATGGAGGTAATATGATGTCGTTTTTTCATAGTTTAAGTATGTATTGTTAGGATTGGAAATAAGCAGGTGTAAACGCGGAAGCTAGCAAAGCAAACCTCGAAAGATCACGAGTAAGAAGACAATGAGAAACATACCAAAAGACACAAAGATTTAACGTGGTTCGGTCAATCGACCTACATCCACAAAGGAGATGAGCAATCCACTATAAATATGAGAGTACAAAATACAGAGCGAAACAACCTCAACCAATTCACTCAGAATACATGGGAGGTTCACACAAGTGATAATGTATCAAGCTTGTGACCCACAAATTCTCCCCCTAACCAAAACTCTCAAAGCCTTTAAGGCTACATTGTGAATGTTGATTAAGTTAGAAGGAACATGCCTCTATTTATAGAGTCCTAAACCTTTTCCTACAAGAAAATGATTAGTCAATCCAAAACCTTTTCCTACAAGGAAAACCTATTTATGGTAAGAAATTTAGGGCAAATAAAATCCAACATGTATTACAAAGTTCATCATTAATTTGTTGCTAAATGGTCCCTAGCTAATATATTTTTTGGTAATTGTTGCTAAATGCTAATCCGTCTTTAAAGAAGATCATCGACAAATTTTTGTGGAAGATGAACGCCGCTAATACCTGTGTTTGATGTTTCTATAGCGCCTTTAATGACAAGTTAAAATACATTCATAGAGCAAAAACTATTCACGCGTGTATATAACTTTAACCCTTCTTTCCCACATCTTTATCTGAAATATAACAGGAAAAGAAGTTTATAATAGTGATAATATGATGATGATATACATCTTTTTTGTGTGTTCACCTAATCTAGGTTTTTTCCAACCAAGAGAAATAGAAGGATGAATGAGATTGAGAGAGAAGTTAAAGCAACAATTAAGGGGATTATTGATAAAAGAGTGAAGGGAATGAAAGCAGGGGAGCCCAATACTGATGACTTATTAGGCATATTGTTGGAATCCAACTTTAAAGAAATCGAGCAACACGGTAACAAGAATTTTGGTACGACTATAGAAGAGGTTATTGAGGAGTGTAGGTTGGTTCTATGTTGCTGGACAAGCGACAACCTCTGTATGGATTGCTGGACAAGAGGCAACCTCTGTATGGATTGTATGGACTATGATTTTATTAGGGAGGCATCCAGACTGGCAAGTTCGTGCTAGAGAAGAGGTTTTGCAAGTGTTTGGAGATGGCATGCCAGAATTTGATGGATTAAATCGCTTGAAAGTTCTAAGTTATTTTAGCTTGTTACCTTCTTTTTAATTTTCATATCTCCGCTACACATGGTGTTACTTTTATTTAGCGTCAGATTAAGGATTTAAACTTAGGTTCTTCGCATTGAAGTCACTGTTATACACTCTTCCTTTGTTCCATTTTGTGTGACGGTCTTTTCTTTTAGTTTGTTCATAAAAGAATGACATATTTAATCTTTAACGTTTTCAATTACCCTTGATGAAACACTTTTATAGCCATAAAAATTATCATGTAATGTTTATGGTCACAACTTTTAAAAGTTCTTTTTTATATAACTTTATGCCCAATCAAATAGTGAGTATGTGTGTGTTTATATGGTTTCTGGAAAATATTAATTTGAACCTATTCGACATAGGCTCCATTAATCTTTGGTTCTATGTTCTTGATTTATTTTATTGCTATGCTAATTCAATGCTGAACTCATTTTAACAATAGGTAACAATGATTTTGCACAAGTCGTTAAGGCTATATTCATCGGCTAGTGCACTTCGTCGAACCATTACAACTAAAACGAAGCTAGGGGAACTAACTTTACCTGCTGGAGTGATACTGTATTTGCCAACAATTTTGGTGTATCATGTTAAGGAAATATGGGGTGAAGATGCAATAGAGTTCAAGCCTGAGAGATTCAGTAAATGCATTTCAACGGCAACAAAGGGCCAGATGGCGGTTTTCCCATTTGGCGCGGGATCTAGGATATGCATTGGACTGAACTTCGCAATGATAGAAGCGAAGATGGCTATGGCTATGATTCTGCAGCATTTTGCATTTGAACTATCTCCTTTGTACACTCATGCTCCACAGTCTGTAATAACTATGCAACCCTAATGTTGTATAAATTGTAAGTTGACTTGCATGAAATGCCTTGTATTGAATTAATAACTGTTATTTGTAATTTGGATGATATAACAAACTCAGAGACCTTGCAAAGGGACCTTCTCCCAAGTGAAAATAAACACAAACTGTCAGGTTGGAGAAAGTATAAAAAGTTAGAGCACAGTCTCCAACAGTGGCAGAAACTTTGGTCAATGGCATGGCCTTAAAGATTGCGACTATTCTACATAAACATGAAGTTCAATAGTCACAATCTCAATTTTTGCAACTTGAGAAACATCTCAAGAACTCTTGCAAAAGCTGAGCAAAGAAGTGAAGAAGCATTTCAAAGATCAATTCAAATTAGAAAGAGCTGGAAGCTTAGTTGTCTTAGGAGTACTTCTTTTGAACGTATATTGTAAATTTGTTCATAAATATATAAAGGACTCAGATCTTTTGGATTGTTGAAAAGTCTATGTTATTTGAGTCTAACTGATTTAGTGAGCAGCCTTGTGCCTTGCTTAGTCAAATTCTAAGTCATCCGAAGTGTGGTGAGTTAGTGGGCAACTAGCGTATTGCTTAGTTGAATCCTAAGTTGTCTAGTGGTGATGGCTTAGTGGGCAGAGTGACATCTGCTTAGGCTCTTCAAGCAACAAAATCATTGCTTGGTTGTGAGATTAATAGCTTCTTCTCACATTGTTGTAATCGGGTTTCGCTTTTGTTTTAGAAGATTAGTGAAAACAATTGTAAATCCTATGTGACAGGTCGTGGTTTTACTCCCTTGAGTAAGGAGGTTTCCACATAAACTGCTTGTGTTGTTTTCTGTTTTTATTTACTCTTCGTTCTTACATCGAGTGTCTCAAGGAACCTGGCCCGTTGACTGATAGTGGATCCACGTATTCTATCAATAACTATGTCAAACAAGCATAATTAAGTTGATGTATGTAATTCAGCATTGGTTTGTGCTAGGGGTGTCAAAAATGAAGTCAAACATAGGTAAACGTCCAACTCGCCCAGACTCCAATTTTAACCCGTTTTAAAACAAGATATGTTTATATATTGAAAGTATGAATTATTATCTATTTAACATCTTTTAGAATTTATCTATCCATTAGTTACTTTTTTAACAAAAAAATTTTGAGCGAAAATTCAAATTCTGATTATAAAAATTAAATATCAATATATTAAATTATTGAGATTAATCAGGTCAAATTGACGAGTCAACACCCAACCCGTTTTTAGCCCATTTGAGTCAACCCATTTGAACCGAAAGTAAACTTGGACAGGTAAAGAATCTAACCCGATTTTTATTCAACCCATTTAAATATTTTTAATTTCAACCCAAACCGTCGATTTGACACTCCTAGTCTGTGCTTTCATTCAATCATAGGCCATATCTAATGAATGGAGAAAGGCTCAAATAAGTCGAGTTAATTTGGGGATACTCAAGACTATTTATAGTTGAGCAAATCTGAAAAGAACACACTAAATTTAAGTTTATTGGTAAATAAATAAATAAATAAATAAATAGAGAATATAACATTGGTCATACACTAAAAAAAATGAATTTTTTAATTTTATTTAACACTGTAAAATTCCCAAGAAAAAGAAAAATGAGTATTTAAAAATAAACATTTGGTTAAAGGAAGTTTTGTTTGCCACAACTCACAAGGAAGCGTTATTTTCGCTGTTAGCACCATTCTGGACATGCATAAATTATGAGTCTCACAATTTATACTACAGTTCTAATTGGGTCCCACCATGTTGCCATCGTTTGCTGCTTTAGCTTATACACCAGGCATAAGCAGGTGTACCTTGTGTCAATAGGAATATAAAACGTTTGCTATTATTATCAAGTACTATTTCTCTCCCTTATAAAATACTTTTCCCGCTTCTCAACTTCTCAGTTCCCTCTTCTCTCTGTTTCTAGATAAACTGAAATAATTGCTGCTGAGTGTTTGACCTCTTTCTCGCCGGAGAATCGGAAGCACTTCGTTTTCCGGTAAACAACGATAACTCCTCCGTGTTTTTTTCCGTCAAATTTTATGTGCAATTTTTAAAAAAGTTGGTTTTATGATAGGAATGTGTGATCACTCGTTCTAGTTGATTATAAATTTTTGTGTTTCCCGATTGTTACCGCCGACTGTAATGATTTCATCCGGTGATTGTCCGAGAAGAAGTTTTAGAACTAGTGTGACAAATTGAGATTCTCTCATCGTTCATGTTTTTTTTTTGTGTGTATGTAATGAGCTGTTTCTAAGTAAGTGTTATGCACCTGTATAGAAGGTTTTGTACTTCGATTGCAAAAATAAAATAAAATAGGTGATTAGAGTTACCGAGCACTGACAAGCATAATCATAGAGATTATGTCTGCAGATTCGATGCACAATCCAAGCTTAAATGAGGAAGGTACTTGTGTTTCCTAGCGTATATTTTTTTCTGATGTAAGATATTTTTTCTTTGGGTCAAATGCCTCAGCAAAGCCTCAATATACAGTGTAACTTAAGTGATATTTTGCCTCAGCAGAGCCTCAATATACAGTGTAACCTAAGTGAAATTTCCCAAGTTTTTGTATATAGTTGTTCTAACCTTTATTTTAGTGATGCATGACGCCTAGAGGCTAGTGTTATCCTGTATATGAAACATGGTATGATTTGCATTGTCAAGTGGCGAAGCCTGAATTTTCACTTGGGGCATTAAAAAATATAAAGAAAGTAAACATACAAAGAAGTCAGGGGATTTAACAATTGCTATACTTGCGGTACGTTTTTTCTGCCCATGGCATTGTCAACTTTGCTGTTTAGTAATGTAATGTTTCTATTTTTGGTTAGTTGTTCACACAGCAGAAGTTTTCAATGCGGTGAAACAAGAACAAATGGATGTAGTTACTGAAAAAGAGTGGGAGTATCGTGCATTGAAGGCAAGGATAGAAGAAAGGAAAAAAGACCGCAAGAAGAAACAAGAGGACAGACCAACTTTAATGTGGGAAACTTGGGAAGAAACATATGACAAATGGCTTGTGAAACACTTCGCAGATGATTTGGATAATCAGAATGAGTTATTGTGTGAAACGGTGGAGCCATCATCAGATATGATTGTGCCATTGTTCAGGTACCAGAAGGAGTGGTTGTTTTGGGCTCTTAAGCAAGAAGAATCTTCATCCAAAGGGGGTATTCTTGCTGATGAGATGGGAATGGGGAAGACTATCCAAGCGATAGCACTTGTGCTTGCTAAAAGGGAATTAGGGAAAACAATTAGCAAACCTAGTTTATTGTCATCTTCATCCAGTACTAATAAGCAGGAACCCTCAGCAGTAAAAGGCACTCTTATCTTATGCCCTATGGTTGCTGTCCTTCAGTGGGTTACTGAGATCAATCGATGCACCATTGAAGGTAGCAACAAAATTCTTGTGTATCATGGTTCTAACAGAAGGAAACTTAGCCGCGATATTGAAGAATATGATTTTGTCATCACCACATACTCCACTGTTGAGGCTGAATATAGGAAATTTGTCATGCAGCCAAAACAAAAGTGCGAGTGGTGTGGCAAAGCATATTATGAAGAAAAGTTGCCCATTCACCAGAAGAGTTTTTGTGGACCAGATGGTGTTAAAACTGCCAAGCAGTCAAAGAAGCAGAGGAAAAAGTTAAAACTTGACGAGGAATTGTTGATGCAGAAAACAGATTCTACTGAGTCAGAGACTTATTTGCAGATAACAGATTTTATGGAGTCAGAGACGAATGTGCAGGAAGAAGGTTCTACCGCAGAGACTGATATGAAGAAAACGGGTCGTAGAAAGTACATGAAGCGTAGTAGCATGGCAGAAGAAGGAAAAAATGATGGTTCTATGGATACTTCATCCAGTGTAAATCAAGATTTGCCACAGAGGAAGTCAATTTTGCATTCAGTGAAGTGGGATCGCATCATCTTGGATGAGGTAAGTCACGCCTTTGCATATCATGTGTACTCACTCGTATATGTTGTTACTTTCTTCAATTATCATTATGTCATAATTTTTATTTGTTAGTATATGTGAGTGAAAATGGTTAGTTTCCTAAGGACTCATTTGATTTAAATGCTAGTAGTTTCCTCACAGATGATCAAGTTTTTTACAAATGCTAAAGAGTGACGAACATTGATATCTGTAGTGCTATCTTAAGGACTTAGAATGTGAAGTACTGTATGGTTTATGCAGTCTGCGGAAACACTATTGTAACTGCTGAATAATATAGATGAATGTACCTACCTACCTCTAGGATGTTTCAGCTCATTGACATTTAATTAGCTGTGTGAACGAAAATATCCTGATGCTCATGGTTATGCTCAATTGCTCATGTGAAATATTATCTTCAATTTTGGTTTGGTTTCTATCTTCTATTCTTGTAATGAATCTGAACATTCTGTTCTCAGTTCCTACTGAATACTGTTGTATACTTATATTTGATTTGCAGTGTGTGCCTGTCCCAATCATCTCACTGCATTCAGAATTTCATAATTGCATGTGATACAAAATCTTGTCTGCAATGTTTCAACTCATTTCACTTATCTGATACAGGCTCATTATGTAAAAGATAGGCGCTGCAACACGACAAAAGCTACTCTTAGTTTGAAATCTTCTTATAAGTGGGCCTTAAGTGGTACTCCGATTCAGAATCTTGTTGGAGAATTATATTCACTTGTAAGTTCAACTTTTGCTGGTTATTGTCTTCCAGATGTTTGTGTTATGAGATTAATTAAATGCTTTACTTTTGCACAGGTCCGTTTCCTACAAATAGTACCCTACTCTTTTTACTTTTGCAAGGACTGTGATTGCAGAACACTTGACTACAGGTAGTAATAGTTCACTATCTTTGTACCTACCCCCTAGGGTTAAAGAAGTATGGTGCTCTAAATTTAATTTATAATTTATCTGTTCTTCCTTTTGCTCTTCAGCAATTGTCGTCTGAAACCTTTTATATTCTATATCCTTTGATCAACTTTTGTCTTGCAGCTCTACATCCGAGTGCCCACAATGCCCCCACAAATCAGTACGGCACTTTTGCTTTTGGAACAGAGTAAGCTACAAATTCTATTATTTAAACTTTTGAGGCTCTATTATTTCCAAAAATAAATAAATTGCTGACAAGGTGAGATTGATGCATCTTCTCTTTCTAGTACATTGCTACACCTATAAAACGTGAAGGAAGCTATGGGAGTGGTAGAGATGCGATGTTCCTTTTGAAGCATAAAATTCTAAAAAGCATCCTACTAAGGCGTAGTAAAAAGGGAAGAGCTGCTGATCTTGCTCTTCCTCTTAAAATTGTAAGTTTTGTCGGGCAGGAATGTAGTCTGATTTAATCTGATATTCTCTTTTTAGCTTATTTCTTGGTTGTATATGGTCTCAGGTTACTTTGAGAAAAGATTCTTTGGATGTCATAGAAGAAGACTACTACACGTCATTGTACAATAAAAGTCAGGCACAGTTTAATACGTATGCTATCTATCCTGTATATGCTGTTCCAACCTTCGCTTTCTTGGTGAAAGTTCTGGTTTGTCTGTGGTTTCTCAGTTTTGTGTCACCCTTATGTAGTGTTTCCTCATTGATGTTGTATCATGAGGCTGGCTGATTGATTCTTTCCCCTTGTCTTATGTGTTGACTACCTTCCTGGAGTATGTTCTGGAACACATTGCTTCCATTTCTTGTAATCTTGATGATTAAGGTCACGTGCTTTCATTTCCCTTCCAATGTAGATCATGAAATATTGCTATCATCTGATTATCCCCCCCCCCTCCCCCTCCCCCTCCCCCTCTCCTCTTTCTCTTTCTCTCTCATTGTGTCTATCTCTCTGTCAATTTGTTTCTTTTTCTTCCTTTCTCATTTCTCCTTACCTTTCTTCTCTCTTCTCTTCTCTTTCTCACCGTGAATTTTTTTCCTTAATTATTTTTACCTTGCCAAAAGGTTAAAAAGAGATAAAAGACAATTTTAGCTTTAATTATATATTTCCCTGTTGTGTTTTGTTGCAGTTATGTTAAAGGTGGAACAGTGATGAACAACTATGCACACATTTTTGAGCTGCTTACACGCCTACGGCAGGTACCAAGATGATGTATAAATGCTTGAGATGCATGGAACCAAAATGTTCTTGATAATTGTAATGTACACCTTCATTCATATACTTGTTCGTTCTGATTGACTAGTTATTATCTGCCTCTCAATTTGATCTACATGCACTCACTGCACCTTCTTATCTACAATCTCGATGTGATTTTCTTCCTTGCAAATGTTTTCACATTCAGCTACTTTTCCTTCGTTTATTCTTCAACTTATTTCATATAAATACATAGGCAGACGTTGTGCAAGCTCTTTAATCGTTACTTTTTCTTTTTAATACTCGGCAACTTCTTTCATATTCACCTCTTTTTTTCCTATCCCGTTTTCTGGTGTAGTTTTATAACCCTTCTGGTATTACATTATTTTTGCTTTGTTAAATAATAGAAGTGATAATTTTGGAATGTTGAATGCGTACTTGGATGATAGCTTGTTTTTTTGCTGTTTAAATTTTTTCAAGTGGTTAACTTAATATGGTTAAATGTGTACTTGGATGATAGCTCAATGGATAGTCAATACAATTTTTCATGGGAATTTAGGGACCACGAAATTAATCTTCACTTTATCAAAGTGTAGACTGGAGCATAGATTGGATTGCAGAACTTATCTGATGTGTAAATCAGCTTAGCTGATGAGCCCTAAAGGTTATTATAGCATATTCATTTGCTCTAAAGTTTTGTTGTCCTTCTCTTTTGTGAACATAATTTTGAAGTGGCCCTTCTTTATCATGCTTCACCCCAGGTATACATTTCGGTTTTTGTCACTTGTTACATGCTTTTGGTTTTCACTTTTCTTTTTGCATCTTCCAATCATGCCTCCTGAATAACAGGCTTTAAAATATTGGTTGAAACTTGTAATAAAGTAGGCAACTATCTAAAATATGCATGTGCGTGTTTTATTACTGGTCCATCTTCAGCCAAATTTTTATGAGGTAAATATCTGATTGATGTCTTTTCTTTAATCGGCAGGCAGTTGATCATCCTTATCTTGTGGTGTACTCGAGTACTGCTTTGGCTAAAATGGCAAACTCTGGAAATGTTGAGCAACCTTGTGGCTTATGTCATGATGCAGTAGAAGATCCAGCTGTGAGTTTATACACACACACACCAAAAGAAAAAAAGAAAAAAAAAGGAAGAGAATCTTCAGCTACTCCATCTGTTATTTCCATTTTGCCAGAAACCTCTTGAAGTTCATGAATATCTGGGGGAGCATTTCCCCGGTGCACCAAAAACATTTTTTCCAGTGTGTTCTTTTTATTATCCTTTGAATACCCAAAAGATTTTATCAAACTCTTCTGGTGGCATGCTAAAAGTCCTTGATTGTCATCTCTCTTGATTGTCGCAGGTTACTTCTTGCATGCATGTCTTTTGCAAGACGTGTTTGATAGACTTTGCTGCAAGTGCTAGACAAGTGCCATGCCCTCTGTGTTCTGAACTACTTACAATTGACTTCACTGTAAATACTGATAAGGTGGATCAGAATTCTAAACAGACTCTCAAAGGGTTTAGATCCTCAAGTATACTGAACAGAATTCAGCTAGACGATTTCCAGTCCAGCACTAAAATAGATGCTTTGGTATGAAATTACCTTCTCGTCTATGATATTTTCCTCGAGATGTTTTTTTCTTTTGCATTGTAGTTTTTAAACTTCTCACAATCAGCATGCAGGTACCTCATCATGTAAAGGCAGTGAGCCACTACTTATAATTGTAGGGCTTACAGTCATCTTAATTACTGAATCAGCTTATGATGCTGTACATTTATGTATATGCTTTTGCATTGATGCTAACCAACATATTCTTGTCAACTTAGAAGTGTTTCAACCTGGCATATAATTTGAAGCTTACGGAGTAAATATTTTCCCGCTTTGAAGTGCGCAGAGATGGAGGAATCTCATTCTTATCATTTTCTATTCAGATTGATCTTTAAATCTTCTATTATTATTTTTCGTAGTATAGCTATAACACCATTATTTTGTCTCTCTTTGTTTCAATTTATGTGACAGTCTTTTCTAATTGGGACTACACTAGAATTTGACATCAATTCCCTAGTGGTATTATGTTCAAACATCAGTTTCAAGCATTTATTTCACTCAAATACTCAAACTCAAGTTTGATGTGATATTTTAAATTACACTTTTCAACCTTTAATTTATATTTCTTCCATTTATATTGATTAAATAAAGTGAAATTATATTGGCATCTCAAAACTTAGTATCCAATACAAAGATCCATCTTGAGACTCAATGTGAGAGGTTGTGTGTGAAGTACCCGAGTGGTTCTCATTGCTTGTTTTATTGATTCTAGAGGGAAGAAATTAGGTTCATGATTGAAAGAGATGGTTCTGCAAAAGGAATAGTTTTCAGCCAGTTCACATCGTTTTTGGATTTGATACACTATTCTCTTCAGAAGGTAAGAGAAAAAGATAGCTTAGCTCCCTTCCTACTCTTCCCTCCTTTATTTTTGAATCTGGGTAACAAGAAAAGCTCATCTTGTGTATTTTTCAGTCGGGCATCAATTGTGTTCAATTAGTCGGATCTATGTCTATTGATGCAAGAGCTGCAGCAGTTACCAAATTTACTGAGGATTCAGATTGCAGGATATTTCTTATGAGCTTAAAAGCTGGAAGTGTTGCACTCAATCTTACTGTTGCATCACAGGTAGGATGTCTCATTCATTTCTGTAACATTTTCCAGATCTCCTGCTATTTAATTCGTTCAACATATTGTGACCTCACTTGAAGAACCAGCTTAATTACCACTGTCGCATGTATCTATATGTTGTCTCAGTGCCCAATTAATGTCATGATAGGTGACTTATCTTGCCTATGCTAGGTTTTCATGATGGATCCTTGGTGGAATCCTGCTGTGGAGCGCCAAGCACAAGACCGAATTCATCGAATAGGGCAATATAAACCTGTCAGGTCTGTTTTGCATTTCTTGTTCTTTTTATGTCATTTAGTGGAGCTTATATTGTCTTTTCTCATTTCTAGGATTGTGAGATTTGTGATTGAAAATACAGTTGAAGAGAAGATCTTAAAGTTACAGGAGAAGAAGGAACTTGTTTTTGAAGGGTAAGTGAGTTTTTCTTGTAGTTGATGGTTGTATTTGTGTTCTGCTAAGAAATAGGAGATAAGTTGTAAGTTGAAGTGATTTTCAAATGCATTCTTTATTGGAGAAGTCTCTAGAAATTATCTTTGTGAAGTAATTTTCTTTGAAATTCTATAACTATTAGGTGTGACTCTTGATGAGAATCATTGTCTTCCACCATGTAAGTCAAGAATTCAAATATATGCCCAAGTAGCTTCCCCTTCCCCTTCCGCTTTGTGTGTTTACAGCTCATCCTACTTATTTACATTGTTTCCCTGTGCTGATTTCACAATCAATTCTTTGCTATAACAGTTGTTTGTAAAACCACTGTGCAACTTCGTTCTTCATCTATGATTTTCCTTGCAGTAGAGTAATTATGAGAGATGGCACTCATCAGTTTAATTCTAACTAGAGAAGGCCATCTCAAAGTGGCTGGAAGCTGCCCCACTTTCTTCCTTGCTCTAGGGTGGAGGTAGGTTTTGAGGGGGTTCAAGTCCTACTGAAATTCCTTGTTATAAGGGAAAAAAATTACTCTAGTGGCAAAGGGGTTCACAAAATTGCACTAATTCTTAGGTTCAATTCCAAATTGTTTCCTATTGTGTTGCTCAATAGCTTCTTGCTTCAGTGCCTGGACACATTACATAAGTCCTAACTTGCTTCCCTAGTTGTAAACATCAGTTTACTTGCCAGAATATCTTATAATGCCATATTCTACGTCTTGTGTTCTCCAGAAATTATTGATTTATCTTTGGAAAATGATATCATTTCTTGAATTCTCTTCAGAAAACTGGAAAATGCAAGTCAAGTTTGTGCTTTACTTGGACAAGTTGGCTTGTATGTTTAAAGTGTCTCAGACTGCCTGTCGGGTCTGGTGGTTGTTATAAATCTTGCCAATATTTGGGAGCTGTAGAAGTTGGTGTGACTGTTGTATGCTCTTTGCTTCCTCTTGTTGCAAGCCAAATGGTTCCGCCATCTTCATTCGTATACTGCTGTTTGGCAGTGTCAAGAATAATTTTTTATATTTCCCAGTCCCACTGTATTTAGCTCTTTTGCTACCTCACACCTTCCACCCTGTGCAATAATAACAAGTTCAGAAATAATTGATGAGAAAAACCATTTGATGATTTTCTTATTCAATGATTCAAATAATTTCTGGATATAAACTCTATGATGATTTTCTAAACATATCAGAGCACCTTATTGTTTTACATTTGCTTTCTATATGCTGTCTCTCTCCATTTCCAAACACCATAACATTTCTCCTTTTTTACATCGACATACTTAAGTTTCTATTGTTACTGCAGGACAATTGGTGGCTCTTCAGAGGCCTTTGCAAAGTTAACTGAAGCAGACTTGAAATTCTTGTTTACAACTTAAATTGGTTGATATTTTGCTTTTCAGTTCAAGAAGCAGATTCACTTGTATTTTTTGCTTTTAGAACAAAGTTCTTTTATAGACTAGTATATATACTTCTGAATTTAGCCATTTCCCTTTTGGATTGTCCAGGAAATGTCGCTTTTGCATCACCATCATAGCTTATGATCTGTGTATCACCATCATAGCTTATGATCTGGGCAGAGTATCTGTGTAGTTCTCTTTTCAGCACAATCAAATTTCTGATTTCTTGGCACTGTTCATTTCTAGTAATGTAATATTTTGACGAGATGGGTCTTTCAAGTTACATTTTGGGGAAGTTATAAGCATCTACATATTTGTAGATAAACTCCGCTACCTGTGCAGGTGGCTTGAGCATAACCCTTGGTGCAGCGGTAGACTTTGAGCATTTTAATTTCTCAGCATATCCTAAAATAATTCTCTTCTATTATTTTCCTAATCTTCCTTTTCCTGTGTCTTTCTTTGTGAATTGTGATGCATCATCATATTCAATGGAGTAGCATTCGGTACTCAAGATACATCTCTTTCCAGTTTTATGTTGGCAAGAGTACTTCTGATTAAATAGTATGAGGTACATCAGTTGCATTACGCTTTTAACTCAGTGTAAGAAGCAGAGTGAATTAACATATAACTCTTGGTTGTCAAAGAAAGAGTTCAGAATGATTAGATGTTTGTAGAAGTTATTGGTGCAAAAAACTCTATGGTTGTGGATTGAGTTACTTGGAGACTTTCAATATCTTATATGGGCATTGTTCATATGGATATCATGTCATTTCAGAATATTTAGTGTTTTCTTTTAAGTGGGAATTAGGAACTTTTTTTGAATGTTCTCTACATTGAAAAAATTGGTTTTCAGCTTAAAGTCCGGGAAATGATCTCAATTTAAGGATTTTGACTAGATTTTTCTAAAAAGGAAAATAAAGTTGGGCAACTTTCACATATAGCAAACAAAAAATTTATATTTGTATAATATAGCAAACTTTGCATAATTGCGCTCCATAGCAAACATAAAAACTGTATAATTCGCTATACATATAAAAGTGTATAATTCGCTGGCCTAAATTATATAATTCGCTGGCCTATTTCGCTGCAATTGTATAATTAGCTTTGCATACAGTTGAATCGAATTAAAATGAATGTATATTGCATAATTATAAGTGTATAGCAAGAAGATATGTGTTTTTCTCGCTTTATACAAAAATAGAAACACAATATATACACTTCTGTTGTATAAAGCTAGAAAAAATTGTATTTCACTGCAACTGTATAATTCGCAATTGTAT